ATTGTGACCGATAATATGCGCCTATGGCAGGCCCTTGAGAGAAATGAAGAACCGAGAAACGACTTAGAAGTATACGCAGCGCGCATCCGAGCCTTGTACAAGGCAACTTACCAGCACATTCCAGGAGGCCAGAACCCGGCCGATTTTTATTCCAGGAGACACCGTCTCCCCACTTGAAAAAGTTTTTAATTATTCAACATCATAATTTTTCTTCGAAAAGAAAGTATTTCTTCACTGAACTCTGAACTTGAATTGTACAACTCGCGCAATGGTTGAGACTCGTAGTACCGTGGACCTCCAGAAGGAGGCCACTAATATCATACTAGAAGCCAATAAGTCCGGCAATATGGACATTTCACGTATACAGGCAGTTCCCCCTAAGATATGGGGACAAGTGTGTACTGCGTTGGACATTGAGAGGCTAATCAACTATAATCAGTTACTCATGCAACCAAAGTATATGAAGGAACTGCAGGAGGTTCTCGCTGCCCGCATAGAGGCCGAGAAGCCGGCGTTCACCCATAGAAAGATTCAAGAGGCGGGACCGCCGAAGACGGCCACCCAGCCCTCGACGAACAACCCACCGGTTAATCGACCACCCACGCTGGACCTGACTTCAGTGGGCCAACACGCTCCAATGATGGAAGAAGTCTACTACAGCGACCATAGCTCGACACCGAGAATACACGGTAAACGTCATACGATTACGACGGACGGGTGGGCGAACATTGACTATCTAATGGGCGACCCTGCACATATGTTGAATCAGCTGCGAGGGGTACGAATGTCACCCGAAAAGGCATTTGAGACCAGGAATAAGATCCTGCGAAAGGCCCTAGTTGATCCCGAGATTGACAACACGGACAAGCTGATAGTTCGTGTGAATCAACTTATCGACCAAGGCCTAATTACGCATGACTTATCGGTTAATGTACTTTTGAGCTGCACAGTGTACGGGAAAGAGGGGACTATGCGTCGGATTGAGTCGGGTGCGATACTTAAACCCATAAACATCTACAACCTAAGTTCGCGGAAACGCCCAGACGACAAGAAACCGAGAACGCAAAACCCAAATCCGAACACATACGCTAGCAGTAATAAGAAGAAGAATACGACGAATTACAACAATCAGAACCGACGAGGCAGTTATAGTAAGCCTACGGAGACGACTAAGAACTGGACCCAGGGCACGTCCAAATAGGG